GAGGCCGCAACAGTGAGAGGCCCATGTAGCGCAAAAAAAAAATCTTCCAACAAACAAAAGTCCAGGACCAGATGGCTTTACAGGTGAATTCTATCAAACATTTAGAGAAGAGCTAACACCTATCCTTCTCAAACTCTTCCAAAAATTGCAGAGAAAGGAACACTCCCAAATTCATTCTATGAGGCCACCATCACCCTGTTGCCAAAACCAAAGATACTATAAAAAAAGAAAATTACAGACCAATATCCCTGATGAATATAGATGCAAAAATCCTCAACAAAATACTAGCAAACAGAATCCAACAACACATTAAAAGGATCATACACCATGATCAAGTGGGATTTATCCCACGGATGCAAGGATTCTTCAATATATGCAAATCAATCAATGTGATATACCACATTAACAAACTGAAGAATAAAAACCATATGATCATCACAATAGATGCAGAAAAAGCTTCTGACAAAATTCAACACCCATTTATGATAAAAATCTCCAGAAAGTGGGCATAGAGGGAAGGGAACCTAACTCAACATACTAAAGGCCATATATGACAAACCCACAGCAAACGTCATTCTCAATGGTGAAAAACTGAAAGCACTTCCACTAAGATAAGGAACAAGACAAGGATGTCCACTCTCACCACTATTATTCAGCATAGTTTTGGAAGTCCTAGCCATGGCAATCAGGGAAGAAAAAGAAATAAAAGGAATACAAATTGGAAAAGAAGAAGTAAAACTGTCACTGTTTGCAGATGACATGATACTATACGTAGGTAATCCTAAAGATGCAGCCAGAAAACTACTAGAGCTAATCAATTAATTTGGTAAAGTTACAGGATACAAAATTAATGCACAGAAATCTCTTGCATTCCTATACACTAACAGTGAAAGATCAGAAAGAGAAATTAAGGAAACAATCCCATTCACCCTTGCAACAAAAAGAATACATTACCTAGCAATAAACGTATGTAAGGAGGTAAAAGACCTGTACTCAGGGCTTCCCTGGTGGCGCAGTGGTTGAGAGTCCGCCTGTCGATGCAGGGGACACGGGTTCGTGCCCCAGTCCGGGAAGATCCCACATGCCGTGGAGCGGCTGGGCCCGTGAGCCATGGCCGCTGAGCCTGTGCGTCCGGAGCCTGTGCTCTGCAACAGGAGAGGCCACAACAGTGGGAGGCCCACGTACCACAAAAAAAAAAAAAAAAAAAAAAAGACCTGTATTCAGAAAACTGTAAGACACTGGTGAAAGAAATCAAAGATGACACTAACAGATGGAGAAATATACCATGTTCTTGGAATGGAAGAATCAATATTGTGAAAAACACTGTACTACCCAAAGCAATCTACAGATTCAATGCAATCCCTATCAAATTACCAATGGAATTTTTTTACAGAACTAGAACAAAAAATCTTAAAATTTGTATGGAGACACAAAAGACCCTGAACAGCCAAAGCAATCTTGAGGGAAAAATACGGAGCTGGAGGAATTAGGCTCCCTGACTTCAGACTGTACTACAAACAGCAATCAAGACAATATGGTACTGGCAGAAAAACAGAAATATAGATCAATGCAACAGGATAGAAAGCCCAGACATAAACCCACACATCTATGCTCAACTAATCTATGACAAAGGAGGCAGGGATATACAATGGAGAAAAGACAGCCTCTTCAATAAGTGGTGCTGGGAAAACTTGGCAGCTACATGTAAAAGAATGAAATTAGAACACTCCCTAACACCATACACAGTAAATTCAAAATGGATTAAAGACATAAATGTAAGACCAGACACTATAAAACTCTTAGAGGTAAACATATGAAGGATACTCTCTGACATAAATCACAGCAAGGTCTTTTTTGACCCACCTCCTAGAGTAATGAAAATAAAAACAAAAATAAACAAATGGGACCTAATGACACTTAAAAGCTTTTACACAGCAATGGAAACTATAAACAAGATGAAAAGACAACCCTCAGAATAGGAAAAATATCTGCAAAGGAATCAACAAAGGATTAATCTCCAAAATATATAAGCAAACAAATCAACAGACAAATGATTAATCTCCAAAATATATAAACAGCTCATGCAGCTCAATATTGAAAAAACAAACCACCCAATCAAAAAACAGGCAGAAGACCTAGGTAGACATTTCTCCAAAGAAGACTTACAGATGGCCAAGAGGCACATGAAAAGCTGCTCAACATCACTAATTATTAGAGAAATGCAAATCAAAACTACAATGAGGTATCACCTCACACTGATTAGAGTGGGCATCATCAGAATATCTACAAACAACAAATGCTGGAGAGGGTGTGGAGAAAAGGGAGCCCTCTTGCACTGTTAGTGGGAATGTAAATTGATACAGCCAAATTGATATTGCCACTATGGAGTACAGTATGGAGAGGTTCCTTAGAAAACTAAAAGTAGAATTACCATATGACCCAGCAATCCCACTACTGGGCATATACCCAGAGAAAACCATAATTCAAAAAGACACATGCACCTTTTGGTCTTCCCTGGTGGCGCAGTGGGTAATAATCCACCCGCCAATGCAGGGGACACGGGTTCCAGCCCTGGTCCAGGAAGATCCCACATGCCACGAAGCAACTAAGCCCGTGTGCCACACTACTGAGCCTGCACTCTACAGCCTGTGAGCCATAACTACTGAGCCTGTGTGCCACAACTACTGAAGCCCACATGCCTAGAGCCCGTGCTCCACAAGAGAAGCCACCGCAATGAGAAGCCTATGCACTGCAAAGAAGAGTAGCTCTCACTCGACACAACTAGAGAAAGCCCATGCACAGCAACAAAGACCCAGCGCAGCCATAAATAAATAAATAAATAAAATTAATTTAAAAAAAATACACATGCACCCCAATGTTCATTGCAGCACTATTTACAACAGCCAGGTCACGGAAGCAACCTAGTTGTCCACAGACAGATGAATAGATGAAGAAGAGATGTGGTACATATATACAATGGAATATTACTCAGCCATAAAAAGGAACGAAATTGGGCCATTGTAGAGATGTGGATGTACCTAGAGACTGTCATACAGAATGAAGTAAGTCAGAAAGAGAAAAACAAATATCGTATATTAACGCTTATATGTGGAATCTAGAAAAACGGTACAGATGAACCAGTTTGCAAGGCAGAAATAGAAACACAGATGTAGAGAACAAACGTATGGACACCAAGGGGGGAAAGCGGGGCTGGGGGGCGGTGGTGGGATGAACTGGGAGATTGGGATTGATATATACACAGTAATATGTATAAAATAGATAACTGATAAAGTATTTTTTAAAAAATGCTCTGAGAAGTTGGAGGAAGAGAAAACTCTTATCAGTACCTTTCCCCATGAGCTTATAGCAGAGATAGGTTCTGAGAATCCCTAAAGACACCCGAAGAAACAATGGAAAATCGATAATCCAGAATGCTAGTTTTCTTAAATCAACTAGCATAAGGATGCACAGCCACTGCTTTGATGTTAGTTACTTTTCCTGTAAAGAACTGCTGCATTCATTAGACCTGTCCAAGACTGCTGCATAATTTGGAGTTCTATGCCCCAGAAGTTTTCTAATTATGGTTCCCAGACCAGCAGAATCAACATCCCACAGAAACTTGTTCATAATATAAATTCTCGGGCTCTATCCCAGTTCAATGGAGACAGAGGTGTGGGAGTGGGAGAGGTTAGAGGCTGGCAATGTGTGTTCTAGCCAGGCCTCAGGATGATTCTGATGTATGCTGAACTCTGAGAACTACGACCACAACCAGAAAAAGAAATGTAAGGAACTGGAGAGGACTCTGAGAAGAACAATGAAGATGAACGGAATGCCTGAGACAGAATAAACAGAGGAACCAAGACAGATGGCTTTAGCAAGAAGAAACCTGTGGTACTGACATTTACAAGGCTTCAAGTATATGAAGACTTATTCACAAGGGAAGGTAACCAGATGTTCTCCATTTCCCCTGAGGGAAGACAAAGAAGATGTTATGGACTTCAAGTTGCATCATAAGAAATTTAGGTTAAAATACAATTAAAGTTTGCTGACACAGAGTGTTGTTTAACATTAAAATGAATTGCTGAGGAGTTTGTAGAACTTTCTTCTCTGAGTATCCACTTCAAAAACTACTGTAAATTATAAAATAAACTCTTGTTTTCTTTCCAGCTAAATGATTACCATCTACTGCATAAGGGAAAATGTGAAAAATATGTTGTTACATTTCAGACCTTTTCAAATTATCTAAAATTTAAAATATCTGAGGTACAGCAACTATCTTAAATATCTGAGTGTTAAAATGATAAGAATACTTATTCAAACACAAAACATATACATTCAAAGTATTTCTTTAAACTATAGATAATGATGTTCCGTAATAGTACAAAAAGTGAGCAGTAGCACATATAAAATTCTTGGTTGACGCAATTTACATGTATTTTCAAATAAAAAGAAGAAATTGAATACAAATGAATAAGAAAAGACTGACTAGTTGGTATCTAAAAATTGTATCCTTGTATTTTAAAAACATCACTGAAAAAATTCATAACACGAATACATATATGTGTTACACAAAATGATAGCAGCAACCAAATGCACAGCTTTGCCAAATTGCTCCTAACACTCTTTCCCAATCTTATAGTTTTATATTAATAAGTTCATTAAACAAATATGGTTAACAGGTAACTAAAATAAAAAGATACAAAAAGGTCCTTTTCCTGAGCACCAATAATATCTGATAAGTCTCACATGTAAAGTAAGTGTGTCATAGTTACAATTCCTGAAACAAGTTTTTTTTAAATGTTGAAAAGTCACCAAAAGTTTAAGCTTTAATAATTTTCCATGTGTATAGGAAGTCACTATAATGATAACTCTGTGACTTGTTCACCTCCAAAATATTTTGAAGTTGCGGTCTTCATTGACAAAAAACAATTCCAGTAATTTAGTAGATGTTCATATTTATTGTACTTAGCATAATTCAGGAAGTTAACATTTTTCATTACCTTTTCCACCTTTCCACCATTGATGTCACTGGGGAGGAATTTCTTGCCAATTGTTCTCAAGTCTGTCTAAAATAAAAATATTATTATTAACATAAAATTATAGAGAAAAGTGAATCTAAATCTAATTTCACTCACCAACAAAAGATAAAATTACTTAAGGTGTGTGGAACAAACTTTAAATAAATGTCTTTCAACTGATTATGAGATCTATATATATATAAAATCAATCTTTTCTAATAACACAGTCCCATACATACATTGTTTAAAGTACATCAAAGGCCTTATTTATATCTGGTCATACTTCTCTAGATACCCTTTTAACTAAGTCTTCTTTATTAAAATCTAAAACTTGATTTTATGAAACTATATAGTCTTACTAAAAGACTAATGCCACAATCCAAAACTAAATGACTACTTTGAACATATAAACAGAGTATATTTTTGACAACTAAATTCTATCTAACCTTGATATGCAGAGACATGAAAACACATTACTCTATAGCTTGTGATACTTATGACATAACAAAGCTACACAACATAAAAATATCCCAGAGAACAATACCACTGCAACAGCAAGAAATCATAAGACTATACTGTAGTAAATGCTTATTTCATTTGCTTTTTAAACAAATTACAGAAACAGAAGTTGTGAACAAATGACTAACCACATGAAAATTCCCAAGTACATATTATTCAGCAAACTAAAGCAAAACAAAAAAGAACAACATAGGACTAAGATATAGTTGTAGGATTTCTGACATAAAAACAGAACTTCAACTACACAGTCTACATAAAAAAAACAGACTTTTTCAGGATTTTGTCTTCTTTAAGTAAGAAGAAGTGAAAACTAAAGGAAAAGTAAGAAATTTGTTCAGAAGAAAACTAATACTACTCATGAAAAAGGCCTAATTATTTAAGCTAAGAAATTATCTCGCTGCTTGAGATAGCGAGGTTAGATTAATAACTAAATTTGTACTGTTTTGTTATTCCTTAAATATAGTAAAGAGAAGCTCTTCATTGCCTCAAGAGCAAAAGAAAACAGACTTAGAGTGCATTTAATCACAAAATTTATAAGGGAGAAATTTATATTACACTTAAGGAGAAAATACTAGATGATTAAAATTACTGTATTATAAAAGGATTACATACAGAGAACTAGGATAGTCTTCTTTGAACACCTACAGTAATAGAATATCCTCTTACTTGAAATATCCATATATGGTCAGCTTAAGAAACAAGCATACATGTTATACAACCCTCACAGATCCTTTCCAGTCTTTTACTACAATGATTTACAATTTATTTCTCAATGTAATGCAAGGATCACTCCTAAGTAAAACTCACTGAATGGAACTGCCAGGTAAACTAAGCCCCAAATACTTGTTTAACAATGTTTCAGGTTTATCCTTTTTGCAGCCTCCACCCAATAATAGAGTGAAAGAATTATAAACCATACCTCAAGTTGCATGGCTTTGACTTTGAAAATACTAAGCAACATATGGGGAAAAAAATACTTTCCTATACTAGCATTTCCTATATTAGGATTGTTTTGAAGATTAAATAATGCATGTAAAGCATTCAGCACAATGACTTGCAAACAGTAAGCATTTAATGAATGTTAGCTATCATGTTTACTTTAGCGAATATAAAACATGCATACTGTTATCATCTGAACGTGTACAAGTCAATAATACAACTAACAGTTCATAAAAACATAAGCATTATCTTGAAGTCACTCAAAAGCTGAAATATTTAAATATGTATAAAAAACATAATATATAAAAATTTTATGATACATCATGGTCCTTCATTTCTGGTTTTTATCACTAATTAAAAAATTAAAATAAAATGAGGCATTAATATAAATGAGAAATGAGCACTAGACTAAAATCCTAAACTTTGATTTACTACATACCGTAATTAACTAATATGACCTGGGACACGTCAGAAATTCTCTAAATCCAGTTAATTTATTCCTCTGTAACATGGAAAATATATTACCAATTCTATCTTCCAAAGCTGTTGTCAGGCTAAAAGGAGACAATATATTCAAAGTGCCTTACACACATATAAGGAATGTTATTTCATTGTTCTTTTAGCAAGATGAAAATGACCTACCAAATCTTTAAACATCCTAAATTCAAAGTCAATTTAAGAGTTCTGCAAAGGCAATTCTATGATTCAGATGCTTTTATATCAGGGTCACTAGGATAACTGGGTCCAAAAATAAATTTATAGTGAATAAGCAATTATGCAGGAGAAATATTTAACCTATAACACGCACTTGTGCACATGCACACAAGATTCCTATTTCTTCAAGTAATTTCAGCAGAATATCTATTTGGCAAATCATTTTGTATTACACAGAATCTTAAAACAAATTTAAAAATAATCTTTTAAAATTTTTACTGTTACATATTACTTAGTAATTTAAGACTAGGCTATCATTTAATTTTTTTCTGAATAATTCAGGAATTTAAACGCAAAACTACATGCTGAATTTCAAGGTTATTTCTTAATATCCTTACTCCTCATTCTACAGAGGAAAAAATTAAGAACCCCCCTCCTTTCAACATAAAAACCCATGCAGAAAAGAGTTACACAGCAGCTCTGAGGCTGCTATCTTTAGAAGGGCCAGCTTACAAAGTCAGCCCGAAGGTGTCATCTGGGAACTTGGCACTTGAACCATTCCTTAACTGAAACTGTGGTTCACTGATTAAATTATTTGTGTTAACAATGTGATCTATGGTAAACACCTGCTTTTAAAGGGGGGGAGTCTGGAATTTTATTTCATGCTAAGCAGAGAGTACCTTCCTAAGCAGCCCAATAATAGCCTAATGGACTTCCCTGGGCAGGAAAACCATATACATACCACTGCTTTGTTCACTGCTAGATAAAGGAACAAATTCAGTGTGTTCCCACTGGTGGAAGAGAACATAAGCAAGCTTATGCATGGATTATTCTCCCAATATGTAATAAGTTATACGTAAGAACTAATAATGCAAGTCTTTCTCAATTAGTGATTAACATCCCACAATCACTCGAAAGTTAAAAAACTTCAACAGAAACACTGTATATACCTGATTTTATTTAAAGGTTATAAACTTGAACCTTAGATTATTTGTCTGGTGTAGACTTCATCCCGATTAAAAGTATTTTTTTAATCCTATTATATCGCATAATAGCTTTGGGCTGCAGTATTTAACTATATATTTTAAAGAAAATTATAAAGACAAATTAATTCACTAAGATAATAATAATCATGTACCTCTTATGAACACAGGACAAATACTTCATGTTGACTTATTTTACTTAGTTTCATACCCAATTTATACATATTTCAATGCTATTTACCTATGTATATAAATAAGAAAAATAAAAAAGAACAGAAGATTGTCACAAAGCCTTTTTCCTATCATCTTTAGGACTTTTTTTAATAAACAAAGAAACTAGGGTTCTTTTCTTTTTTTGTGGTACGCGGGCCTCTCACTGCTGTGGCCTCTCCCGTTGCAGAGCACAGGCTCTGGACGCGCAGGCTCAGCAGCCATGGCTCACGGGCCCAGCCACTCCACGGCATGTGGGATCTTCCCGGACCAGGGCACGAACCCGTGTCCCCTGCATCGGCAGGCGGACTCTCAACCACTGCGCCACCAGGGAAACCCGAAACTAGGGTTCTTTATACCATTTTTTGAAAATAAAATTCACTAATTTGGGTGCAAATCAAGGAAAGTTAAAGTGTCTAGCAAATATTTCCATTTGTAGTCACAGATAACCTGTTGGTCTTATTGAATAAAATTTCAAAGCAACTAAAAATATCACGGGTTTCAAAATATAAATTTTATGTTTAAACCCAAGTTTAATTATGTAAATATAAATTTAAGTAATTTGAAAAGTTATACAGTTATAAATTTATTTATACTTCACATGTTCTTATCAGTTGTCACCCTTTCTGCTTTATGCTAAACCTACTTTGCAGTGACATAATGGATTTATCAGACAGTAATTCTCTTCTGAATTTCAGTGATTATGTATCATCGTATATGAAGTTGATTAATAGACTATGACTGCAAAGGTGATACAAAACAAACTCCCATAGGGTAACTGCAAGATTGAAAAAAGAATATTAATTTACTTACATCTGTACTTCAAACAATTTTTATAACTCTTCAAAAAAATCCAAAAGTCAATCCCAATTATAGAAAAGATACAACTATACAAATGGGTAGAGGGAAAGAGCTTGGAAAGAAATATACACCAAAACATTAATGGTAATTATTTGGTTTTATTATCTTACTTTTCTATATTTTCTGAAGTAGTCGTATGGTACCATATATACTACTTTTATCAACAGGAAAAGTTACTTTGAAAGAGAAAATACAACTGTCAAGAAGCTATAACCTAGCTAGAGTTTCTATGTAAATTAAATGTCAATTTGTTTTCATGAATATGATCAGTTTTTACTGCTATTACATAGCTACTGTAAATGTAATGAAATTCTGTAACTGATCACAGGGTGAAAAAAAAGAGTTTTAATTGCATTTTTCCCTTTTTCATTGAATTCTGAGTAATAGATGTTAAAGAAATATATATTTCTAATAATTGGCTTATATGAGATTACCAAATTCAACAAACATCCCTGCCACTTAAAATGGACAATAAAAATGCAAGATGATTTATGATTTTTTCTCATCATAAAATCCAGTTTATTCTATGAGATATTTTTCATAAATATAGCTTCCAGATTTAAAACATTTATAAGTTAATAAATAAAACTTACATTGAGAGCAATCAGGATGATGTCATTTATATTGATTTTGTCAGGAGAACTTGTGCATGCTTCAATGCCTTCATCTGAAAGATACCTGTTAAAATAAAATAAATGGCTTAATATCTTCTAAAATCAAAATTAACCAAAATTATTTTCTTAAGTCTACATGCAATATTGTTCTCTACTATAAAATACTTCCACTACAAATACGAGGCAAAAAGCGTCCTGGATACTCCCTGTTTATTTACTATCTGATAGAACAGGATAGACAATGCGTATTTTTCCTCTTTTATATCTTTAAAGGGATACTGTGTTAATAAAAGTATCCATATGTTTTCTGAGAAAAGCTATTTAACCATCAATATACTTCTTAAGGAATGAATGAGCTCCTCTTTACTATTATACAAATACAATATCCAATTTAAATATTTAGTAATACAGTAAACTCTTAAGAGATTGAGATGTGCTATAAAAATAGAACCAAAAACAACATAGATTTAAATATAGTCCAACAAACTTTCTTCTGGGCTCCTTTCTCACATTATCTTCTCAAGTCCTCTTTCTCTAACATAATGTTCCCAAGAATCTTTCAATAAATACTACTGACTCCAAATAGCACAAAGATAGGCAACTTTTTACCTTACATCTTTCACTTTTCCTGTCCCTTTTCAGTTTTTTTTACTCACTGTCTTATTGCCCTTTGTTATTTTTTATTCAGTCCAAACCAACCATACATCTGTAGCAGACAATAATTAATTCAAGAGTAAAAAGATTATTGAATCCAAAGGGGGGAAAAATCATCTCTACCAATTCACCCACACCCAATACAGTCATTTTGAAATTCTTTGATAAATTCTACAATTCAGATATCATCCCCCCAAAAGTCCACCTGTAAAAATGCCCATTAACATTCAGCATCTTTGGTAATCAGTAACAGATACTCCTTTAACCAAAGGTCTGATGCTAGCATTGCCACTGTAGACATTCTCCCACTAAAACGATCCCACTACTGGGCATATACCCTGAGAAAACCATAATTCAAAAAGATACATGTACCCCAATGTTCCTTGCAGTACTACTTACATTAGCCAGAACACGGAAGCAACCTAAATGTCCATAGACAGATGAATGGATGAAAAAGATGTGGTACATATATATACAATGGAATATTACTCAGCCACAAAAAGGAATGAAATTGAGTCATCTGTAGTGATGTGGATGGACCTAGAGTCTGTCATACAGAGTGAAGGAAGTCAGAAAGAAAAAAGCAAATACCGTACATTAACGCATATATATGGAATCTAGAAAAATGGTACTGATGAACCTAGTGGCGGGGCAGGAACAGAGACACAGTCTTAGAGAACGGACTTGTGGACACAGGTGGGTAAGGGGAGGGTGAGATGAACTCAGAGAGCAACACGGACATATATACACTACCATGTGTAAAACAGATAGCTAGTGGGAAGCTGCTGTATAGCAAAGGGAGGTCAGCTCGGTATTTTGTGATGACCTAGAGGGGTGGGATGGGGACGGTGGGAGGGAGGCCCAAGAGGGAGGGGATATAGGCATACATATAGCTGACTCACTTTGTTGTACAAGAGAAACTAACACAACACTGGAAAGCAATTATAATCTAATAAAGATGAAAAAAAAAAAAGATACAGGAGTGCTAGTCTGACAGAGCTAACTCCAGCTCTTCCTGATGGCCAGCTATTCCACCATCAACCCCCAACCTTAGGCTGATTCTAAGACACTTGTCAATGTAAACTTTACCTGAAGACAGCAACCAAAGAGCATATACCTTTAAGAAACATAGGATGAACGATTTCTCAAAAGCAAAAGGGCAAGTGAAAAGAAATGTGAATAGGAGAGTACAAAAAGCAATAGAAAATTAAAGCTGATAAACCTATGCATAAGATCAAGGAGGTAAAAGAAAGGAATGTGTATATAAATCAAAGCAAGAATGTGTTAAAAGAAGTTAGATACTATTAAAAGTTGAAGACCATGGCAGTGCTAAACTACAATGATGAATGAAGGCAAGGAGTTAAATGGGCTACAGAGAAAAATAGAAGTGTAAAGTATGTAGATGAGTCAGTAAGAATGAATGGATGGGAGGCAGGAATAAATAGTACATGAGTGACCATGGAATACAATGTTTGCAGTCAGCATAGATGGCTAAAACACTGCTTTAATTCAGAATGGCTAAGTTCATTTCCTTATTACCCTGATAATTTTTCAACATTCATAGCCATTGACTGTATCCGGCACTAACCATCTTACAAACTCAGTTCTACAAATATTAATTAACTCCCCGTTTATGTGAAAAGCACTATGTGAACCAGTAATAAGATCAGTAAAATGATGAAAAATAAGTATCTTTCTTCAAGCTTACAGTCTCACATAAAGAATAACACAACATGTAAAAAGCTATCATACAATGCCAAAATAACTATAAACAAAATGTTATGGGGGCTCAAATTGGCTGCGGAATGGAAAAGAGTGCACAGAAAGGGAATAGTATGACCAACAACATGGAAGTAAAAAAGTATAAAGCACATTCTAGAGGTAATAACTTGGAACGTTATGGCTGGAAAATGGGGAAGAGATGAGAAGTCAGTATAGGTTGCGACAAATTTTATTTACTGCAGGAAGCAACAGTGCATAGAGGAATATGGGTGCTATATTAAATGTTGACTGAGTAATTACAAAAACACAACTTTCAAAATTCCTACAGTGGGGAAATAATATGCAATGACTAATAAAATACTTTTGTTTCTAGAAAGGCAACTCTTTAGAATTAAAAGATTATATAGGATGTCACATGAACTGGAAATGATCTTAAAACATAATCAAAGTTTAACTCTTCAATTTTACAGATGAAGAACGCCCAAAGATGTTAACCTAAACTTGCCCCAAAATACAAACTTAAGCTATGAAAAGTTAAAACAAAAATGCCTCCTGATTCCCAGTTTAGCAGTCTTTTCATTACAACACACTATTTTTATTTATCAACAACTAATGCTAATATCAGGAATATGATTTTTTTCTCATAAACAAAAGTCAACATCTATACAAATCAATTTTTTAATCAAGTAGATACTTTACCAACACACACAAAAAAGCACAACTAGGTAAATTCAATCAGTGTCTCCAAAGTATATTAAATAAGAATAGGCCTAGTTTCATAGTAAAAGATCAGGGAACTAATATTAACTACGATTAAGAGATTCAAAAATTGTTACAACAATAAAAATACCTATCCTGCAAAATATAAAAAGGAAACATCTATCTAACAAAAATTCTGAAGGCAGAAGAGATAAGGGGGTGTAAATTTGACTTCATCCATGTATAAATCAAATATCATGTGATTTCTTCCAAACGATGCCTGGAGAAGGCTTCCAAATTATAAAATATGGCTCAGTCTCAATTTCCAAGTTTTACAAGTCTCCCTTCCTCACCCTTCACGTTAAAAAAAAAAAAAAAAATCAAAGGACTTGAGCCTCACAGTTTTACTTTGTAATTATCAAGAAACAGGAGACCCATTCACAGGTCTCCCCAGTAACATCTTGGTGATCCTTCTGTCAATACTGGACCATTTTCACAGGACTAAATCTAAATTAACTGTAACTTGAGATTTACAAATTAATCTTTCTGTTTCTGTAAACATTTAAGACTCCAATATCATCAATGAATAAAAAATGTGATAAAACTAAGGTATTATGTCCAGATCAGCTTCAAGATGCACTACAGGAACACAGCAACTGAAAGAACAAAACAACACACAATTCACCAGCCTTAATGTGGTCACTGGGAAAAAAAGGAATTGAAAATTGGCACAGGCGTGTCAGATCTGATCCCTGTGCACAACTGCACGATGGACCTCAAGGGAAGTGAGTCATAATCAGTTCCCATGTGCCGTCTTTGAGCATGCAAACCCAAGGGCATGGGCCTTAAAGAAGAAACAAACCCCAGAGAGCTCTTGTTGACTACAACAGCCCCCAAAGCACATACTTTTTTTCTCCTCTGGTGGAGATTTGAGAACAGTAACATTATAAAACCACTCATTACTATTCTGAACTAAAAATACATCGGAATACATTTTATTGACAAGCAAGGCACTAAAGGGCTAAATTTCTACATGATACTCACAGAATAGACTAATATTTCTCCTTAATTTTACCTTCAAACAATTCCATTTTAAATCACAGTTTAATAAACACTCAAATTTTTTTAAAAGGTTTTGGAAAGTGCTTCTTATTTTCATAAATAAATGTTAAAATTCTGACTTTCTCAGAGTCATTTAATTTTAGTCCTGAGCAACTCTTCTTACTTAAGAAGTAAAAGCTTTAAAATTAAATACTATCCACCAATTTGGGGGAGAGGTGGTTTCCTATTACAAATAATGAAAATATATTTAATAAGAAGGGTCTCACTGCTAAAACCATCTTTACCTCATGTTCTAAAGTTACTTGGGCATATAAAACAGACATTCCCAAACTACAGTTCAAGAATCTCAACTGACAGAAAACTGTGAAAGTAACAAATACTATTGTTTCAATATCACTTGTTAGATCCAGATAGTGGATCACCATTACCAGTAAGTGGATTCCTAACTGCAAGGGAAAAGAGTGCCAATTTTCCTTTGAACCATTCCTCTGGAAGTAGGTAAAATCCTTGAGTCTAACTTAACTACTGACTATGATGTACACATAATGAGGAGGTCAGCAACAAACTGAAGGGTACATGCCCGTCTAAAAGGGGCAGCTCCAGTGACTATCTGTATGAGGATAGGTTAAGCAGCCATTGTCAGATCTTCTCATTTTTAGCTTTTAGTTTTTTGCAAAGCAATGTACAAGCCAAACAAAACAGGCTTCAGTCTGCATGTGGCACACACACTTTGTACGTATTAATCGTATTGGTTTATTTCAGTTATCTGTTTGTTTGCTCTTATACACTTTCAACTTGTCTTTGACATGCAGGGTTGTGCCCTAAGTGTCTCTCAAATGATATAATATCCATGGCTGACATCCTTTTCAAGCAAAAGAGGAAAAGAACTGTCTTTTAGGTCACTTTGTATGACCCCTGGACAGCAAT